CCCCCGCCACTGCCGCCGCCGCCGCCTCCGTGTAACTCCCCGACAGGTGCACCCTCCCACGGCGTCCTGTCATCAGTAGCCCCCCCCGCGCCTCCCCGTCCGAAACGCCTCTGTCCTTTCCCGGGGACACCAGCGCGACAACCCCCCCCCCGGAAAGGGTCATGTCCCCGGCCTCGAGAGCCATAGCGGCCGCCGCCGCCGCCTCCACCTCCGCGTTTCCCCCCGAGGCACCCGCGGCGCACCCGCTGGCGCCGTCCGAGGAGCCCAGGCCATGGTCGGCCGCCTCTGCGCCTCCGGAGGAAGCGGGAGCCGTGCCTTTGTCATCGTCGTCGTCGTCGTACACGCCAGCAAGACCCCCGCTCGGTGTCACCCCACCCGCGTCAGAGGCAGCCGCCTGTTGCTGCTGCTGCTGCTGCTGCTGCTGAGGTTGTTCGCCATAGGCTGGGTGTGTCACGGCAAAAGTGGGGGACTGGCCGCCGCCGCCGCCGCCGCCGCGTGCTCCCACCGAGATATCGAAGTCCCCGCCGCGGCTGCTGCGGCTACCGATGGCGCTGGCGCTGCCGCCGAAGCTGGAGCTGATGGGGCTGGACCTGCCGAGCTCGCTGCGGCCCAGGCTCACCGGGCGGCGACTGATAGTCCCTTGCTGATTCACAAATTCCTGCTTCGAACAACGGAGTGGGAGGTTGGGGTGGGGGATTATACTTATTTGGATAGCTCCACCGCAAACTTTTCTTGGTTATCGCGACGAAGTAAGAACATACCGCCGTCTTCGTATAGCAGAGACAAGGCCGTACCGCCTTCCCGTACCACCATCCGGAAGCTCTTACCACCACACAATCAACACATTTACTTGCCTTGCTCCTTCGATTGCTGGTTGGTCAGCACACGGATTTCAAAAGAATGAACCTTCTTCGCGTTTTCCTGGATGACTTCAGTGCTTGTTGCATGACAAGTACCGAACAGCTCGCCCGAACAAAACCGAACAGATACGAGGTCCCACTCAGTGCTCTCCACGAGAGCACGGGCAGCGCTGAGGCAGAGGTTACACCAGATGTCGTGTCCGGGCAACCACCGAAACACGCATCCGTGCAACGTGTCACAACACACCCGTTACGAGGGGCAAATTACTAGGCAGAAGACGATGGCGCAACTTTCCCCCAAAAAAAAGCACACAACAGAAGCAGTAAACGGGCTCCGTCTCCACCCAAAGAAAAACCATCATCGAGGGCGTGTCTGTCTACATGTGCCGTTTTGGACAAACCAACGAGCTGGATGGGTTCCGAGAGCCAAAACCAAACACGGCCTTCCACAATGTCCGTGCACGAGTCGGCCACGCTCGACAGCCGCGAGGTGCCTTGTTACAGCTTCGCGAATGTAAGCTTACCCTCCCACAGTCTTGAAAAAAATTTAGGCCAAAAACAACAAAAGAGAGCACGAGAGATTTAAGAGAGAGAGAGAGAGAGAGAGAGAGAGAGAGAGAGAGAGNGAGAGAGAGAGAGAGAGAGAGAGAGAGAGGGTGGGGGGGGGAGAGAGAGAGAAAGAGAAGGACCTCTCTCCATGAAGGGCACAAGGCTTGCCTGCTCTGACTGCGACGCCTTGCGGAGGGCGACTCGTGATCGGAGGGCAGCCTTGGCGTCTTCGATGGCCTTCAACCGCTCTTCTGGGGTCTTAGGTCCGCCGCGGGGTTGCTTCGAGCGGTCCTGCGCGCGTCGGACACCAGACATCGAACCGCAAGTCGGACACCACGGGTTGGTTTGGTTACCGAGTGATACATGAATAAGGGTTTTAACCCCCCAAAAGCTAAAAAAAACATCGCCGAAGGCATCGGGCACGGCTAAGAGCTCGTACAAATGTAACGCTCCAGACTCACGGGACACAGCAGGCGTAAGAAACAAACTCCGACCAGTCAGCACTGAAACGTAGTCATGGCCCGGTTCAGTCCAAAGCCAAAGCCATATTCAGGACTACTGCTGCTCTTGCTGGCGTTGACGTTGTTTGTTTCGTGTCCTGGAGAGAACCAAAAGACAGTGTCGCAATGCAAAGCACGGCCACACGCGAAGAACAAATATTCGCCCACAACGTGCATCAGCGCAACAGAGAGAGAGAGACCCCTGGTGCAAAAAAACAAAAACAAACCCGACCACAACCAAAAACATCGTTGCAAGGGCGATGCACAACAGAAATAAACAGCGAAACGGGGCACTACTAGTACCCCAAACCGCCCGCTCCCCAACCACAATCGTTCGCAGTCATGAACGGCTACTGTGACAACAACGCCACGTGCCGCCCGGTCGAAACCAGGCATTTCCGAAGCCGTTAACGCCGTTGGCTGCCCGCCCCCCCCCCGCGCTGTACGTGGTAAGAATCGAGCAAGCCTGTAGATACCGGGTTAATGTGACTCCACGTTGCAGCCAACAACCGCGGCAACGTCCGCACAGCAGCTGGCGCCGGTCCACCCGCCGCCGCCGCTGCTTCCGTCCTTGCAGCAGGTAGGTTGGCCCTGAAGCCGCCCCCATTGTCTCTGGGCACGGAATCGTTGGCTTTCGCGGCGTCGGCAGCGGCGTCGGCGGCTACTGATTCCTGCGCCGTTCGACGGATGTGAAGGATCCTTTGCAGGCCATCCTGTTTTGAGCCGGGAGCCAAACACCGATAGATTGATGTGCGTCAGCTAAAATACTCCAGTTGCGTTGCAATGCATGTTGCTTCGCTTTCTACTTCTCGATTATCTACAATTCCATCAGCTTTCGATACCGTAATAATCGACCATTTCATCATGTATCGGGCTTGTGTCACATTCTCCGAGCTCCTGGGTTTGGTGCGGTCGCCGTTGGACCTCTGCCTCGATTGACCCCCCCCTCCCTGTAAGTGCGATAGACATAGGTTCGACCGACCACTTCCTCATATGGGCAAACATCGACCGATCTAGAAAGATCAAGAGTAAGAAACAGAGGAAAGTGTTCCGGTGGAAGGTAGAGCGTTTGGGAGACGATGGGACACGGGATGAATTCCAGAAGGGGCTGGCTGGTAGTGTAGAATCCTTCAGGAAACTGCTGAGAAGCGTCGAAGACGGACAGGTAGACGTACAG